ATATAAAGGAATGGGATCAAAGCAAATCTAAAATCCAGCAGGGAAAATGTTAAATCTGGTAGTTTTATGTGTAGTATCTGAGGCAGTATGTGGCAAGATGTGAACTTTAAAGGGCTTGTGTGCCTTTGCCATTATGACACTGTTGGTAGCTGTAGCCCTTACAGCTTTTTTGGGGGGCCAGTTTTGAGGTGTTTTTTTTTCTCTGTTTTTTTCAGATGATCTGCGTTTTTGGCTTTTTAAACTTTTGGGGACTCTATTGTATCTTTGGCTTTATACATTGTCTTTTTAGGGGCACACTGGCCTCTCAAACTTTCTTTGAAATTTGGAAGACTTTTTGACCCCACATTTCTATTTCGTACGTATCTAAAACTAGTACCACGTGGATCCAGGTTTACTGTCAGTTGGAGCAGCAGCCAGGCTTTTTTTTCTCGCTGTAGGGGTTTAGTGTATATGAACTAAATCTTGATCACCTTTTTTAGGCTGTTACCATTTTGGAACATGGTGCTTTGAGCCTTTTTTGTTTTTTTAAGTTAAGTGTTTTACCTTTGCAACCTGAGGCTCCAAAGGTGGAGTCTGGTTTTTTGTGACGCCTTTAGGGTTTTTGTTTTATTTTTGTAGTCTTTACTAGAGGTTTTCTTGGGGGGACCAAACTTAAAACATTTTAAATCATTTTGTTGGGCTCTTTGTTTTTGATTTTTAAGATAAATCTGGCTAAAAGCCCCTTACAGTAGCTATGCCATCCCCTTAACATTAGACTGCCTTGAAATTCTTTTTGTCAGGTTAGTCTGTCACCCTTAATCTTACTGGACATGAGCAAAACTTGGCTAACTTTTTGCCAAGGCATAACACACATTGTCTGGAGTCTTAACAACCAATGTAGTCTTTTTTTCTTTCCTTTTTTTTTTTTTTTAGCAACCTTTTGAGCCTGGTCTTTATTGGCATCATTTTTGTCTTTTGAGCTCTGACCAGAATTTTATATCAAGTATAGCCTAAAGATTTTTAGGGGTGTTTTTTTTTTAAGCCGGCACCTTTGAATCTTTTTAAACTCTTTTTATAAGCCAGTTTTAAAGGCTTTTGAACTACATGGTTAGGTATCATTACAGCAATGACCCCACTCTCAGTATTAAATTCTGTGTCAGTTACTTTTCTCATTGCTAAGACAAAATACCTGACACCCAAAGTTAAAAGAAAGGTTTATTTGGCTTACAGTTTATAGAGGTTTCAGTCCATAATTGGCTGGCTCCAAGGCAGGGTGGCATGGCAGACAGGCACTGTGGAGGAGAAACAGTTCATGGCAGGCAGAAGGTAGCGAAACAGAAGACAAGACAAGCCTCTTTCTGTCTCTTATATTATATCCAGGCTACTGAGATGAAGGCAGTGCCAAACCAATTAATAAACCAATTTAATAATCACCCTCCCTTAATCCTGACACTCTTAATCTTAGTATCACACCATAAATCAATCACACACTCTAGATCCAGCCACTGAAAAAGCTCCACCTATAACCATGTAAAGCTTTAGAAAAACATCTAGATACAAGCCATAACAGGAAGACTTTGGGTCCCTTTAGCATCCATTTCCTAAAGAAGTGGGGCAATCTGGGAGGGCTTCCTGGAGGAAGGAATATTTGAGCCTTAGAAGCCAAGTTGGAGATCAATAGCAGAGGACTGGTAGAGAGACTGCAGGTGGGTGGTGCAGTCCAAGGGAAGGTGTGGTGGAAGGACTGCAGATGTGTGCAGCTGTGTCTGTGCCTACTGTCCTTACCTGCGTATCAGCATCAGCCTGGCAGAGGAGGGCATGTGGTGCCAGCAGAGGGTGGGACACAATTCGCCCAGCTCTCCTGAGACCTCTGTAGTCTCCATCTCGGCTGCAAAGGCTGCTGGGCCTGGGAAAACCTAAGAACAATACAGCAGAACATGGCTGTTGGTTCATAGGAGAGGGAGAGCCACAGAACACTCTTGAGCTGGGGTGTCCCAGGCTACATGGTCCTGTTTCCTAATAATTCAGCTATAGGGCATGTTTTGAGACCTGTCCTGGATAAGCCATGGTTTTACGGAGTGGAAATGAAATAATGAGCCTGTGGGCACCTGCTCACCACTCTGGCCCCATCATCTCCGGGCACTGTTATTTAGCCCTCTCCCTGTGGACGAAGCCTGGGAAAATGCATTTTAAAGAGTTCCACGGGGACTGTCTCTGCTAATGGTGTGCTTGGAAAGGGGTTGTCTTTTTATGATTCCCGGTATGACTCCATGAGTTATGTCTTGTTTCTTCACAGATTATCGAAGACAACCCCCTGGGGTGTCTTTGCAGAGGAATACTGGACCTCAACACCTACAATGTCGGTACGTGCATGCAGTCTAAGCCTGGTCCCCACCGACCCCAGAGCCTGCCCACAGAGCCACCCAAGTAGGGGACGATGTGGTCCTGCCCAGCCTGGGCTTCGACTCGGCTCCTTCCCCAGCTGAGCCGAACATTCTGGGCCAGATTAGAGGATGACGATGTTAGTCTGCTGCTGAGCTCTAAGCTGTGGCGTGCAGCCTGGTCTGGTTTACAGCTGGCACCTGATGACCATTTGCCACTGTTGCTAGCAGCATCATGGCCGTCATTTCAGGGATTTGCCTGTTTCCCATGCTTTTGGAAGAGCCAAGACATTGGATGGGTGGAGATGGCGCCTGGAGTTGGGTGTCTCAGCTTCTCCACCCAGCTCTGCATCTTAGTCACTGTGAGACCATGTCCCGGTCACCTCTCTGTGAGCCTCAGCTTCCCAGCCTGGCCATTCTGGGCTGTGGGAGAAGGGGAAGTGCAGGCATGGCTGGAGCACAGGCCATGTGGGGGTGCAGGGCTGTGACTGCACCAGGCTGCTTAAGTCTACAGCCTGCACTGCAAGCATCAGAGCCCACAGGAGGGGGTGGCAGAAGTGAGGGAGAGGTCAGGCAAGCCCAGGCAGCTGTCCTCTCTGTATTGGAAGATGCTTTTCCCACCATAGCTTTAATTTCTTCTCACGTAACTTTCCTCTGAGTGTAGAGAATCCATTCCACATCCCACTCCTGGCTTCTGCTGAGCCCCGGGTGTCTCAGTGTGTGGCTGTGTCACTGCAGACTACCTGTGTGGCTTTCTCCTATGTCTGTGTCTCCAGTGTCCCTAGCCTCTTTCTTATGAGGACAGCAGTCCCTGGATTTAGGGTTTCCTCAAAACCTGGGATGTCTCATCTCAAG